TTACTGAGGCTTGCTTACCGCCAGCCTGGATGGGGCGGGAGGTAAGGTTTTCTGGCTGTTACCTCTGTAATCCTTCATCAGCCCTCTAGTTAGTATTGTTACATGCAAGGAAACTGAGGCCAAAAGGTTGGGTAACGTGGCAGGTCTCGCGTAAATGTTGAGCTGGGAGTCGAATATAGGGCCCTATGGCTTTAAATAACAGTTTGTCCCAGGAACATGACTTATAAATGGTTAATTTTGATTTCCTGTTTCACCTAAGTTTTGTTCAGAAGGGTGTTTTTGTTTGGTCTGTTAGTTTCGAGTTAATTTTTATCAAAGTAACACAGAAAGTTTTAAAAGTCAAATAGTGCCAAAAGATTTATCACAAAAAAGTTAAGGCCAGGCGAGGTGGCTCACGCCTGTAATCCTAGCACTTTGGGAGGCCGAGGTGGGAGGATCATTTGAGTTCAGGAGTTGGGAGCCAGCCTGAGCAAGAGCGAGACCCCAGTCTCTACTAAAAATACAAAGAAGATTAGCTGGACAACTAAAAATATATAGAAAAAATTAGCCGGGCATGGTGGCTCATGCCTGTAGTCCCAAGCCACTCTAGAGGCTGAGGCTGGAGGATCGCTTGAGCCCAGGAATTTGAGATTTCTGTGAGCTAGGCTGACACCAGGGTACTACAGCCTGGTCAACAGAGTGAGACTCTGTCTCAAAAAAAAAAAAAAATTAAGCCTTGCTTCTCCCATTTCCCCTTCCAACTCCACAGAGCCTGGGAACTTTTTCAGTGATGTCCTTTTTTTCTATTCCAGGATACGATATTGCATTTAGTAGTCATGTCTCCTTAGGCTACTCTTGGCAGAGACTGTAAGACTTTCCTTGTTTCTAATGACCTTGACAGTTTCGTGGAGCACTGGTTAGGTATTTTGTAAAACATTCCTCAATTGGGATTTGTTTGATGTTTTTCTCATGATTAGACTGTGGTTCTGGGTTCTGGGGAGGAAGACCACAGAGGTCAAATACCATTTTTATCGCATCATTTCAAGGGTACCTACTGTCAACGTGATGTATTGTCATTGGTATGAAACTTGATCACCTGGCTGAGGTGTTTGTCAAGTTTCTTCCACCTTTTCATACTGTACTCTTTGGAAAGAAGTCATTATGCATAGCTGCCCTGAAGGAGTGGGGAGTCATGCTCCACTTCTTTGAGGGCAAAGTGTCCATGTTAATTATTTGGAATTCTTTTGCATGAGAGATTTGTGTAGGAAGGTTTGCATGACATTTAATTTCATTTATACATACAGGACTATTCAGATTTTGTTTCTTCTTATGTTAGTTTTGGTATATTTGTTTTTAACTAGAAATCTGACCATTGCATCTAAATTGTCAACTGTTTGGTACAATGTTCTAAATGTCCTTGTACTATCTATTTAGTGTCAGTAGGATTATAGTGGTGTCCTTTTTATTCTTGGTATTAATAAATTGTACTCTCTGTCTCTTTCTTGATTAGTCTTGCCAGGAGTCTATCAATTTTGTTAGTCTTTTGGAAGAAATAACTTAGAGTTCTGTCAGTTTTCTCTTTTCTGCCTTTGTTTTCTGGGTCATTAAATTCTTAGTTCGTTGTTTCCTTCTACTTTATTTGGACTTCACTTTCTGTTTTTCTCCATCCCCTCACATTTTAAGATGGATACCTAGGTCAGTGATTTTTTTTTTCAATCTTCCTTTATACATTTTTAGCTGTACATTTCCTTTAAGCACAACTTTAAATGTATAAGTTTTGATTTGTTGTATTTTCATTATCAGTGAATTAAAAATATTTTTAATTTCTAATGTGATTTTTTCTTTGACCCCTAAGTTGTTTAGGAGACTAGTGCTTAATTCCAGACATTTTAGGATTTGGTTGGTTACTTATCCTTTTGCCTTTGGTTTCTAGCTTAATTCCGCTCTGTCCAGAGAACATATTAATAGTTTGAATGATTTCAGTCTTTTGAAAGTTGTTAAGACTTGCTTTATGCCACAGCATATGTTCCATTTAGCTATTCTATATACACTTGAAAAGATGTCTATTGTGAAGTCATGGTGTGCAATAAATAATCCGTGTCTGTAAACTAGGTCAAGTTTATTATTTGTTTTATTGGAATCTTCTCTATCCTTGCTGATTCTTTGTTTGCTGCTTTTTATTTATCTAAAGAAACATGTTAAAGTCTCACTATAATTATGGATTTATCTATTTCTCCTTTTCTCTTAATTTAGATAGGTATTTTTATTTTTCTGGTAGATAGAATGACCTTTTTATCACTGTCAAATGTTCCTCTTTATCTCTAGTAATGCTTCTTTGTTTGATTCGTGTTTACATGACATTTTTCCCATCCTTCTATTTTCAACCTTTCTGTGCCTTTAGTTTTAAACAGCATATAGTTGGGTTTTGTTTTTTATTCAGTTTGACAGTTTTTAATTGGTATATTTAATCCATTTAAATTTGATTTAATTATTGATATATTTATATTTAATTTTGCCTTCCTACTGTTTTCTTTGTGTCCCATCTGATTTAGGTTCCTTTTTCTTTCCTTTCTCGACTTCTTTTGGATTAACCAAGTTTATTTATTATCCATTTACCTTTTTATTAGTTTAGTTAGATATTCTATTATTTTAGTGGCTACCTTAAATATAATATTATACAATCATTTCTGACTAACAAGAATGTTATACAAGTTACTACTATTCAACACAGACATGACTAGGATCTTAGAACACTAAAACCCCATTTTCTTCCTCCTTTTGTGTTATTGTCAGGTATTCTAATTTGACTCATTTTAAACCTTATAAAACATTATTATTATTATTATTATGTGCTGACTTATTTATTCATTACTCTTTTTTTCTTCCTGTATTTCTGTAGTATTTTCTGGAGTTGTTTTCATTCTCTCTTCAGGATTCCCTACTCTTGGTCTTCTGGTAATAAGTTCTCGGTTTCTATCTATGCCAGGGGTCCCCAAGACCAACCCAGGTTCAATCTTTCACTAAGAGGACTCACGAGACTCAGCATATGGTCATATTCATGGTTAGGATTTATTACATCAAAAGATATAAAGCAACATCAGCAAAGGGAAAGGATGCATGGGGTGAAGTCTAGAGGAGACCCAGGAAGAAGCTTCTGAGAGTTCTCTCCCAGTGGAATCCCACAGGATGCACTTAAATTCTCCTAATGAATTCTGACATGTGTGAAATATTCTCGACCAGGGAAGCTTGTTAAAGACTCAGTGCCTGGAGTTTTACTGGGGGCTGGTCACGTAGGCACTGTCTGCCTAGCACATGCCAAAATTCAGACCCCTAGAAGGAAAGCAGGTGTTCAACATGAACCACATTGTTTGTACAAATAGTTTAGGCACAATGAGATGCTCTCATCAGTCCTGGAACTGATGGGGAACCCTTTTGAAATCCAAGTTCCCAGATGCCAATCAAGAGCCAATTGTGCAAGCACGTCTTGCAAAGGTAGCAGTCTCAGTCTTACTATGTTAACTCTTTCCTGCACACTTTCTGTCTGAAATGCCTTCATTTCACTTTTGCTTTTAAAGGATATTTTCACTGGGTATAGAATTTTACATCAGTATATATTTTCTTTCAGCATCTTTTTAAAAATGTCATTCCATTCCCATAGTTTTGTGGCTTCCATGGTTTCTGTTGAGAAGTTGGCCCTAGTCTTATTGTTCCTTCTTTAAAGGCAATGTGTTCTTCACCCTCATCCACAACTGCTTTTAAAATTTTCTCTGTGTTTTTGGTTTTGAGCAATTTGGGTAAGATGTGCCTAGCTGTGGTTTTATTAGTATTTATTCTATTTGTTTTTCATAATGTTCCTTGAATCTGTGGTTTGAAATCTCTTTTTAATTTTGGAAAATGTATAGCCATTATCTCTTCAATTTTTTTTTTTTGCTTCAATTTATCTTTCTTCCCCTTCAAATCTCTTCAAATTACATGCATTAGACCTTTTTTTTTTTTTAATACAACATTGTATATGTCTCTTATGCTCTTTTCTATATTTTCTCTCCTTGCTAGGTCTGGATATTTTCCACTAACCTTTTTTCCAATTCATGATCCTCTCTTCGTCTATGTCAAGTCTAATAAACCTGTTAAGTTTGATTTAACCTATTGACTTCTTAGGTTCAATTATATTTTTCACTTGTGGAATTTCCATTGAATTTTTTAAAATGTATTTGAAAGTTTGTGCCAGATATTGAGCTTACCTTTCTCCCTTCTTTCTCAGATCTTAGCCTCTCGTGTCCTGACTGCTTTGGCAGCCTTAAACACAATATTTGTCTTTCCAGTCCCGTAAGGTTTGCCAAAAGCTCTGCTTCCACTTTTTACAGCAGCTCTCCCTAGTCTGAGTTTTAAACTTGCATTGCTTCATTCAATCCAGTTATGTTTGCTTTTGATTTTTTTTTGAGATTTCTCTTAAATCTGGTCTATCATGACCACCTCATCTGGTTTTCCAATCCTGTTAAGGCTTTAAAAATATAGAGAAACATTTATCTTTTCTGTCATCTCTGAAGCTGTGAAGTGGGATGGGGAGGGGTTGCCACCTGAGCTCAGGGGGACCCTATTTTTCTTTCTATGCCCATAGCACCCAGGGTGGTGCATAGCACATAGCAGGCACTCAGCAAGTGTATATGTGCAATAGATATTGAATAGTCAAAGAAAGTAGAAATGTTTGCGATAGCTCTGAAGTATTGTCCTACAATTGGACAACTTTTATTTATATTAGTTAGAAAACTTCCTCTTATACTAGATTTTTGTTTTCCACTATGTTTTTGTTGTATAAATCCATTTTCTCACCCCATTCCATCATGACATAAAACTTCAGCACACACAGTTCATTTCTCCAAGTCACTACCAGGTCTTCTGCTTTTGACAGCCATTTCCCCAAACAGAACAGGCAGTATTGCTCAGGCAATGTGTATTTCCTTTCTGTCACACACGTTTTCTGTGTTATTTGTTTTTAAAATCTACCTTCTTCTCTGATGCAGGGCTCGAAGATTGAACTCCCCTTGTGGCTGGCGAAAGGACTTTTTGACAACAAGCGTCGGATCCTTTCTGTGGAACTTCCTAAGATCTACCAAGAGGGGTGGAGGACCGTGTTCAGTGCAGATGCCAATGTGGTGGACCTCCACAAAATGGGGCCACACTTCTACGGGTTTGGCTCCCAACTCCTGCATTTTGACAGTCCTGAGAATGCAGACATTTCCCAATCTCTGCTACAGGCAAGTAATTGATGTGAAAACCTATGGTGCTAAAATGTCTCAGGAGCCAGCATGGCAGCCACCAGATGTTTTTTACCCAGGACATTGTATGACTTGTGAACTCGGTTTGTTACTATACAATTACACATGTCTGTTATGTATGTTCTTTTTTTTTTTTGGAGACAGAGTCTCACTCTGTTGCCTGGGCTACAGTGCCATGGCGTCAGCCTAGCTCACAGCAACCTCAAACTCCTGGGCTCAAGCAATCCTCTGCCTCAGCCTCTCGAATAGCTGGGACTACAGGCATGTGCCACCATGCCCAGCTCATTTTTTCTGCATATTTTTAGTTGGCCAATTAATTTCTTTCTATTTTTAGTAGAGACGGGTCTCACCCTTGCTCAGGCTGGTTATGAACTCCTGACCTTGAGCGATCCACCTGCCTCGGCCTCCCAGAGTGCTAGGAATACAGGTGTGAGCCACCTGTTTTTTAACATATGACTTATCTGCTGTTCCTCATATTTGCTCGCTAAGAGTTGGGACTAGCAGGAAGTCCACGGAATGAAAAAAGGGTGATGATGAATTATAGGTGACAGGGACTTAGATACACAGTCCCAGCCTAGTCGCAGGCCTGGTCTGGGGTTCCTGTTGGAAATACATGAGTTATTGAGTCATTTGTTCCCTTCCTTTGCTCTGGGGTTAAGACCTGGCTGTGCGATGGACTAACATGTGACTTGGTTGAGCTACTTGACCTCTCTAGGCATCAATTCTTCACCTGTAAGATAGAGATAATAATAGTGCCAAAATTATAAAGTTGGAATGTTATGTAGTGCCATGTAATAAACAGTAACTATTATTGTTATTATTTTGTATGAACAGAACAATATTATACATCTGTTGCCATCTTATACAGTCTAACCTTATTTTAATTTTTCATAATTATTTTTTATTCTGTTAATATTAGAAAAAAAAAACATCTTTTTTGCCTCATAGGACATAAATCTCCAAAATGCCTCATTCCTCATTTCTAGCTTTATAAGAATAATTGGTTCAAGACATGTTTGCTCCCTGGGCTGTGTTGACATCTTTTATCAGGCTTAAGGGTTGTTTGGGTTGCTACCTGCTAGTGTTGTTTTCAATGTAGATAGTAAGGGAAAACATTGCTATCCGTTTAGTAAGAGAAGTCAATGCATAGGTGATAGATGGTTCAAGTTTAGGAAATTCTTTGAGCAGAAAGCTGTTCTTAAATTGGAATCCTGCCCCTTTTTAGTGAGTTGTATGTTTTCTTTTTCTATCACTGCTTCAAAATGCTTTAAACTAGAGTTACTGGCCGGGTGCGGTGGCTCACACCTGTAATCCTAGCACTCTGGGAGGCCGAGGCGGGCGGATTGCTTGAGGCCAGGAGTTCGAAACCAGCTCTGAGCAAGAGTGAGACCCCGTCTCTACTATAAATAGAAAGAAATTAATTGGCCAACTAATATATATAGAAAAAATTAGCCAGGCATGATGGCGCATACCTGTAGTCCCAGCTACTCGGGAGGCTGAGGCAGGAGGATTGCTTGAGCCCAGGAGTTTGAGGTTGCTGTGAGCTAGGCTGATGCCATGGCACTCACTCTAGCCTGGGCAACAAAGTGAGACTCTATCTCAAAAAAAAAAAAAACGAGTTGCTTCTACATAGGTGACTTTGCCCTAAGGAATTGAAAAAATTGGAGCAGAGGCTTATGGTGTGTGCTCAGAGCCCGGTGGTAAAAAGGTACCCGCAGATAATACATGTCTCCATCCTGCTTTCAGACTGAAGACATGGAAACTGCATCCAGTTAAATCAAGAGTCTTTTTCTGGTTGAAAATTGTCTGCATGTGACTGCAGTATATCATTGTGGCCTTTGTTACAACTAACAATAATAGCTAATGCTTTTTGAGTGGCTTACTATGTGCCAGGCATTTGTTAGGTGCTTGACATGTATTACTTCACAACACTATCTCACAGGCACGGAAATCGGGGTTTGGCAGTGTGTAGTAACTTACTCGAGTGGTAGACAGGACTCAGACCGCCTTCTGGTTGAGTCCTGAGACCTAATTCTTTCTTTTCATACCATTTAAAGTTCTAAGACAAAAATGGATCTGGCCTTAAGGGGTGTGAGCTCGATCTTGACTTCTCTTACTCCCTTCTTGTTCAGACTTTTATTGGACGTTTTCGCCGCATCATGGACTCCTCCCAGAATGCTTACAACGAAGACACTTCAGCGCTGGTAGCCAGGCTAGACGAGATGGAGAGGGGCTTATTTCAAGCCGGGCAGAAAGGGCTGAATGACTTTCAGTGCTGGGAGAAAGGGCAGGCTTCTCAGATCACAGCATCTAACCTCGTTCAGAATTACAAGAAGAGAAAATTCACAGACATGGAAGACTAAGAGGCCAGAAGAACATGGAGTTGTTCCTTGTAGACTTACCCCTCTGTGTGTCCTTGATAAGAGCTGGTTGACCGTATACAGGACCAGAATCATGTCCTATTGCATGGCTTATTTCCTGTAGCAGTCTCAGGAGTGGGACCATCTGGTAGGGAGCGGACATGCTGCAGGATGTCTCTGGCCCTGTACGTTTTCTAGAACTATATCCCTCCCTGCTGACGCTCAGCCCAGGCCTTTTAAGCACGGAACCCACAGCGGAGGAGAAATCAAAGTCATTCCTAAATAAGGATCATTGACATATACATCGCAGTAGCATTGCAACTGAGATTCCTTGTGTCTGCGAGTTTGGACAGCCTCAGATGCTGTTTCACTGGCTGCAAAGGACGGGTACAAATTGGACGGTCTTGGCCTGTTCACAAAACGTTCTCTTGATCTTACCTGCCTCATCTTCCTCATGGTTGGAGGGAGGACAGCACTCTCATAATGCTGTCCTGACATGCTGTCTCCTGCCACCCACCTGCAGGGAGTTACCCCAATTTCCAAAAACAGTCACCAAGAATAAAGGAGGCAAAGGGAAAGGCCGATGAATGGCATGGCTGTGACTAAAGAAGAGACGTTGCTTTCATGCTCTGTACTCAGGGCTTTATGAACTGGAATTCACATAACTCTACAGTCAACCTAGAAGGAAAATGATTAAACTGAGCTCGTTTTGTCTGTGAGATCTTTAGAGCACCCGCACGCTTATTCTATTCCCTGCCTAGAGAAGCTGTCAGGGAGTCATTGGGATTTGCAAAGTAGTTATTAAAGGATGTTAACCAGCCTTTATTACATCTGGAAATCAGGACTCGAGGCTTGCCAGCTGTGCAGAGTCCTGTTTGAAAAACTTAACATGGCGAATCTAAGTGGGCAAGAAGCCTCAGTTGTGTTCTTTTCTCTTCAGTTAATTTTGTAACATTATCGTTGGACATTTACTAGGAACCTGTTTCAGCACAAAACTCCTCCCCTGGAGATCACGGAGGCAGCCTCAGGCTGAGTAAGACGCGGCACCCCCTGGGCCCATTGGACTGTTAGCAGAGCACCCCTGCTCCGTCTCCCTCACCCCACAACTAGCAAAAGTTGTCTTTGTCATTGGGAATTAGAGGGATTTGGGTCTCCAGACTGTGCAGATGTCTTGATGTAAACTTAGAATGACAGAAATGCTTTTAAAATGCCTGTTTTAAGATGGGATTGATGTTTTTATAATTTGATTTTAGGGCTAAATAAATTTATACGTGAATACATTATGCACAAGTACTATTTCTGTAACTCTAGTACTATAGATGATCAGCAAAGCTATCGGAGAATTTTGCCTTTTTTTTTTTTGAGACAGAGTCTCCCTCTATTGCCCAGGCCAGAGTGCCGTGGCATCAGCCTAGCTCACAGCAACCTCAGACTCTTGGGCTCAAGCAATCCTCCTGCATCACCTCCCGAATAGCTGGGACTACAGGCATGCACCACCATGCCCGGCTAATTTATTTATATATATATATTAGTTGGCCAATTAATTTCTTTCTATTTTTAATAGAGATGGGGTCTCGCTCTTGCTCAGGCTGGTTTTGAACTCCTGACCTCGAGCAATCCACCCGCCTTGGCCTCCCAGAGTGCTAGGATTACAGGCGTGAGCCACCGCGCCCGGCCAGAATTTTGCCTTTGATCATATTTGAAAGCCCAAATCCATGTTTCAGCAACTTGTCTTTTGCTTGTACAATATGCATAAATATGAAGTTCATTCTCTATAGGAATGTGCTGTGTCCTGGGAAGATGAGATGTCTATTACTTCTACAGATTTTATGCATAGTCAGGGCCCCAGAAATCATTCACAGAATGAGAAAAGCATATTATTTAACTTTTGGCATCACTATGTTCACCTTGTATTGAAAGTTAATTCTAAGACTGCTGCCATTTTTCTTCTCTCACTGAAGGGTGGCTCATGCCTGTAATCCCAGCACTTTGGAAGGCCAAGGTGAAAGGATTGCTTGAGGCTAGCAGTTTGAGGCCAGCATGGACAACATAGCAAGACCCCATCTCTACCATGAAACAATTTAAAAACATTAGCCAGGCATGGTGACATGCACCTGTCATCCTAGCTACTCGGGAGGTTGAGGTGGGAGGATCACCCAGGAATTTGAGGCTGCGGTAGGCTGTGATTGTGCTGCTGCACTCCAGCATGGGTGACAGCGAGACCTTGTCTCTTAAAAAAAAATTACTCAGGGGCCACATGTCAGGAATATGTGGGTATGCATGTACAGAATTTATTCTCTGCTTTAAGTTGTGAACAGCTTATATTATACATATAGCTTTTGAACGCATTGTCAATTACAGCTCTGCCTTCAAGCCTGTCAGACCACCCCTCTCCCTTCCAGCCCTCCACTCAGTCTTTTGGATTACTATTTGGTCCCTTCAAAGGGGTGAATTTTTTCAAAAGACCCAGCAAATTAACTCAAATGCCAAATTGCTTTCCAAATCGAGGGAGTAAATGTGCGCGTCCTGTCCCCTTACGGGCTCTGTTCCCACATAATTGTGGCCTTAATTATAGACAAAAGACCTCACTGTACTCATGGTTTTCCCAGGGACAGTCTGGGCTGCCAGGGGAGTGGGACAAAACTCTGTCTCTCTCAGTTCCTCCTGTTCTCCCTGACCTCTGAACTTTGTCTGCTCCAGGCTTAGTCCTTAAATCTCCATCTATATGCTGATAACTCCCAAATCTGTATCTCCAGCTCAGATCTGTCTCCCTAACTCCAGACTTGTATCTGACCACCTACTTGATGTTTCTGCTTCAACGCCGGACCTAACACGGCCAAGACTGAGCTCCTGATCCCCCTGCCAGGCAGCTACTCCTCTGATCTTTCCCATCTCTAGTGCTCTCACCTGGGCCCAGGCCCCTCCACTTCTCACCTGGATTGTTGGGGTTGCCCCTTCACTGCCTTCCTCCACACCACCACCACCTAGACTCTTCTCACTAAAGCAGCCAGGGTGGTCTTGTTCAGATCAGAAATAAAGCCAATCTTGTCGATTCTCTGCTTAAAACTCTCCCATCTCAGAGAAATATCCACTCACTCATCCCAGCACAATTTGTTGAAAAGTCCATCTTTACCCCAGTGATCTGATACTGGATTTTCTTACTGCTTTCGTAGCAGAAATAATTTCTTATTTTAAATAAAAATTCCACCTTCTCCCTAAGAGAATTCTAAGCATTTTACAGAGCTTCTCATTAGTCTCTCAGCACCACTGGGCCTGAGAAGTTTCTGGAATACTGTGAAGTAGTAAAACTGGCTTACAGAAGTGTTGACTAAACATGCGTCAGTTCTGCTCTGGGTCTGTCTGTTTTCTTCTGTTCTACCAACCTTCAACAATCCCTAAGAGAGCTTTTTATCGTTATGCTTGAAACAATTGTGTTTAAGTGAAAATGTAATATTTCAGACTGACCTTGGCCAAAGAGAACAACTGTGGGGAGGCCATATGTGTGCTTCTAAAAGTAGGTATTTTTGTGTTCAGAAGGAAAATCTCTACTTGTGGAACAGAATGGAGCATCGTGCTTAACTATAAGGATTAATCCAAAAACTGTAATTTCCACAGTTCTTATCTAGTAAAGGTAAACTTAAAATTTTAATATTGAACACACATAGGAACAATTTTTTTAAGAGACAGTTAAATGCTCTACACCTAAAAACAGGGATCTAAAAATTGGAATTCTGTTGCTAGCTCGATATTACCCTTCTGAATGGGCAGCAGTACATCTCCCATCCTTAATAATAGCGAATAAAATGTCAAGGGAATCAAGGGCAAGTGGGAGAAAATGTAGTTTGCTCTCTTCCCGAGAGCAAATGACTAATCCAGGTGACGGGCCCAGCCTGCTTTTGTTGGAGCTCATTTTGTTGATTTCTCCAAGCTTCTGCTTTTCTGCCTAGTTAATCAAAGGAGACAAGGAGTAGCCAGACACAGCCTGCTTGCCAAGCAGCCTTAGTCATTCTCAGAGCCTTCTCTTTCCTGGCTGCACTGTCCTGTTGCCTGCTTCGTGATCGAGGGGAAGGGACAAATGAGGCCACCCCCAGAAGCAGAGGTCTCCTTTCTGTGTCTGCTTTTTCCGAGATCAGAGTCAAATCAATTAAAGGTGCATCATTTCATTCAGCTTTTTATTTGGAAATAATTTTAGATTTAAAGGACAATTGCAAAGAGAAGACAGAGTTCCTATATATCCCTCACCCGGCTTTCCCTAACAGCTTATACAATCCTGGTACATTTATCACAACGCACATTAACTAAGCCACAGGCTTTATGCAAATGTCACCAGACTTTCCACTAATGTCCTTTTCCTGTTTCAGATTTCAGTCCGAATCCCACATTGTACTTAGGGGGCAATCATTTTTGAAAGCAAAACAGAGCATCGAATTCTCCATCACATTAATTTCAGAAGTTAAGCTTATTGAAAAGGTCTCACTGCACTGGGGAGAGATAACTAGGGCCAACTAAGGGCCCATTGGAGCTTGCTGCTGCTTAGCTCATCAAGAAGGGAGAGAATATTTGCTTTTCAACTGAAATTTTCACTTTTTCCCCAGTACTCACATCTAACAGAAAAAGGCCTCTTTGATTTTACTGAAAACTTTTAGAATTCTTTTTGTCTGATTTCAGTAACTTGATTTTCTCCCCCTTTCTTTTCTGGCACTCTCTAGCTCATTTTCTTTGTGTTTAAATGAGTTTAAAACGAGCACGACTTTCTACACCAACATTATTAACAAGTGTCAGCACAGCTCTGAAAATAGTGCCTGGGAACTGCTAGTGTTGTAGAATTCATAAAGCATCGCGTGGAGCTGGGTGCATTCTGCAAACATCTCCCACCCGTGGCTAAGTACGGAAAAAAAAAAAAAAAAGCAAACCCAGAGTTTCAAACCTTTATGACATTTTCTGCTCCTACATGACCCTGAGAAAGAAGTTTATGTGATTCTCATGTGATTTGCACGTCTCCCTTTGTACAACTAAAATTCTTCCCTGGGAACATTTTCTTTTCTTTGGACGCAAGAGAGCAAGTGAGTAGCTAAGGAGTGTAGATTGAGTACAACAAACGGGGCAGGTGAGATAAAGATAGTGTGATTTATTGAAGGAAAAGTGTGGTTGAGATTTGTTTTGAGGCTTGTGGAAAGGCAGACAGAAACCAATATTAAAAGCCAGCATTGCCCGTCAATGAGGGGAGAGATGACAACGGTTGTTCCCAGGCAGTGGCCTTATCTTAATGGGACCAAGAGGGCCTGGCACTCGGCTATCTCTCTGGTTCAGGAGCAGAACATTTTAAAAACTGTTTCAAAGGGCACTGTCATTTTCTAATTTAGCATGTCACGTTCACTCTTATTTCTTTATCCAAGGTAAACATTGAGTAATGTGCTTCTTTTGAAATAATTGAGCAGCCCAGGAAGAGTTTTCTCAGGTTTTAGGCCAGTTCAGACCTCGAACAACATTTCAGAAGATCGTACTGGCTGCATTTCTAGATCATTTAAAAGATTTCCCGTATAACATGACACATCATGTTTGTTGTCTGCCCGGTAGTGAAAATGAAGTTCTCCGATTTTTAAGGCATTTTAAAAGAAATCAATAAAAATGGAAAAGTTCACTCCATTTTGAAAGACTTATTTCCATAAGCCATTGTGGTTTTAAAAGGCTTTTCTGCCACTTCAAATAAAACAAAGAAACCATGTGAAAAACAATGTGTCTCGGGTTACTGTGTGTATCTGTAAAAAGAACAAAGTGTTTATCTGGGTTAAGTGGAGATGAATGCATGACCTTGCTTAATTACGGCTCAAGCACACCCACCTCCTCATGTCATGGGGCAAGGTCCCTGAGGGACCCACGTGGCAGAGCAAATCTCCCAGAAAAGAGGTTTGGTCTTCAGGACCCTGAGATGTCATAAAACACCAAGAGAACAAATGGATAACCAGATATCCATTAACTAATGGTTATCCTGGGATAACCAGATGAAGGAGGTTGTGGCGAGTTTGTTATCAAATCTCTCTAAACTGGTAGCTGCTACACTATAGCTCAGAAATCATAGCCTAGAGTGGGAGGATTAACTAGTCCAGACTGTTAAAAAAAAGACTTTTTTCATTGTTTTATATTTGATACATGCAAAAGAATACATGTAACATACCTGTGTTATGAAGTGTCGCAATATAGTGAATGCCCATGAACTTCCACTCCTGTAAGTTCTAGAACATGATCATTGCTCCACAGTCCCTCAGCGTAGTTCCTCT